CAGACCAAAAAAAATAGAAAAAAGAAAAGAAAAGAATCTCCTGCCCTGGTTGTCTTTGAACTGCGATCTTCAAATCTCAGCTTCCAAATTAGCTAGGATTACAAGTGTGAGCCACTGGCACCCAGCTCCTTTCATTAGCCTTTATTTTTTTTCTTGTTTGTTTGTTTTGGTGGTGATACTGGGGTTTGAACTCAGGGTCTCACACTCACTAGTCAAACGCTCTACCATTTCAGCCATGCTCCCAGCCCATATCCATTTTAGTTATTTTTCAGATAGTCTTGTGATTTGGCCCAGAGCCAGCCTTGGATGATGATCTTCCAATCTTTGCTTCCAAAGTAGCTGAGATTACAGGCATGAGCCACGGCATTATAGCAATAGCAATGGCTATTATTTCCCTGTTTTAGGGTCTTCAAAATCTGTTTCTGAGAATACTAACCCTTTAAGCTACTCTGTTAAAGAAAATAGATCTGTGATCAAAGGGTTTGTTAAGGGGGGTGGGTAATCTGTCACTCTGGGTATATAATCTCTTTCCTTCTCTGTTTCTCTACTTCTTATTCAGAATTCATATTAACACTTAAGTTTCTGAAGAGTCTTAAAGTCAAAAAACACTCATTACTGAGAGCTTACTTTCAACCAGGCTGCTCTAGTCTACCTCCCTTAATTCTTTCTCCCAACTACAGAATAGCTTAATGTCTCAGATGAGAACCACTAAGGTTTTCACACCTCCATGAATAAGTGAAATATATAAACTTTGAACTTAGATGCTCCTAGCATTCTGTTTTATCATCAATTTACTTTTGTGTAAATCAGAACTCCCTAATAATCACAGACCTGCTTTCTATACATTCCTCATTAAATCACCCACAAAAATACTCCCAAAAGAATCTTTCTACTGGCTGTACAGCCATTATGTCACTGGTAAGTCCCCCACACCCTACTTATGGCAGTCATTTTTGTGTTTCTTGTCTCTGCCCACAGACCACAAACCCATTGGTTCAGCCATCTTAGCCCTGAGCCTCCTCCGTCTCTGACACAAGTTGGGTATTCAATACATAGTTGCAGACTGAACATGTGTGGAGAGCATTATCAACAGTCCCAACTTACATGTTATTTCAAACAGAAAGAAGCAAATCCAATAAACACTGGAAAAATAGAAACTAGAAAGGATTTCTATTTCTCTAAATCTCTTTATACTACTCCATGTCTGCTGTTTACCAAGTAAGTAGGAAAAGTCAAAAGCAACCACAAACTGTTTTAATAGTCATGCTTAAATTCAATTTGGAATCAGCACAGAGAAATATTTAATTTGAAGGCTCCTGACTGAAAAGGCCTGGAAAGAGTAGCTAATAAAACTGAGGAGAAAATTGTAGCCTAATATATTTATTTGGAGCTTGGAAAGAGGAAATGCATCCTCACTAATGTTTGAGAATTTGCGTCATGGAGACACAAATACTCTTCCTTTGGATCAAAGCAAGTCAGTCAATTCAGGTTCTCATTTCAACTGGACATAGGAGAATGCAGTTAATCAGCAGTGCAGAAGAACTTTTGAGAAGTGCCAGGTTCAAGTCATAAATGATCTCCATTTCAGCAAAATTGGGGTATACTTTTCATTGGTTAAAATGAATGTTTCAGGTAGAGCAGAAAGAATCTCAGCACATTGGCACACTCATTTTCAAAGAGTTAATCTAAACATATTTTGGTAACAATATAAACAAGCCTTGCCCTCTTCTGCAATGTCTTTTAAGCAAACAAAATGGCTCATCTAAAAACTCCCTTAATGATGTTATAAATATATCACATGTCATGAATCCATAGAACACCATTTTAGTTTCAAGAAGCCAGTCCAAGTCTTCAGTATAAACATCTCTAAAGAGCACAAGCCTCTGCAGGTAGCAAGACACTGGCCAGAGTTGCCAACAACCCATCTGGCAGACTAAACCTAATCTTCACATGACCTTCAGGGTGACCTTGCTCCTGAAGTTTAAGCTATTAACAGCCTCCTAGGATCTATTCAGTAGAATCTGAGCCAATAACTCCTCCTGGGCCTGAATTTTCTCCTTTGGCCTCATTTCCCATCACTGTCTCCATACAGAAGCATTTTGAGCTTCTTCTATCTGCTGTTATAATTTATTCTTCTACAGTTTTTCTCAAAATGTATTTCTCTCAGTTCTTACCCATCTTTTCTCATTTCTCTGACTCTCCCTGCCTATTCAGCTTTAAAAGTCTTGAATGATAACATTTAAAAAAAAAGAAATGCTTGGCCCACCAATGCCACTGCTAAATACACACACACACACACACACACACACACACACACACACACACATCTCCAAGAGAAATGAAAGCATGCTCACATAAAAATTTGTATGCAGGTGGGTGCTGGTGGTTTATACCTGTAATCCTAGCTACTCAAGAGGCTTAGATCTGAGGATCACAGTTCAAAGCCAGGCCCAGCAGGGAAGTCCATGAGACTCTTATCTCCATTTAATCTCCAGAAAACCAGAAGCGGCACTGTGACTCAAGTGGTAGAGTACTCGCCTTGAGCTGAAGAGCTGGAAGACAGCACCCAGGCCCAGAGTTCAAGTCCCACAACTGACCAAAAAAAAAATTGTATACAAATGTCCACAGCAGCATTATACACAATACCCCTGAGGTGGAAGTAAGCCAATTGCCCATCAATTAATAAACTGTCACATAAATGTGTTACATCCATACAGAGGAATATTATTTGGAAATTAAAAAAGAAATGAAGTACTGATATATTCCACAGCATAGATGAATCTTAAAACTGTGAAAAAAGCCAATGAAAATGGGTTTTAAGGCGATGCTATTCACATTAAATGACCAGAATAGGTAAATCTAAAATGGCTAAGACTAGAAGAGTTGAGGGAATTGGAAGGTGACTGCTAACATTTCCTTACTTTTTAGAATGATTTAAGTGTTTTAAAATAGACTATGGTGATGAGTGTATAGTTCTATTAAAATGCTAAGAGCCATTATTAGCTTGTACTACACTCGAACAAAGCAATTGTGTACTATTTAAATTTTCTCTCAATGGAAGAATTTCCCAAACCAGTTGTTAACTATCTCCACCCCTGGGACCTTTTCTTAACATTTCCTCACATCATCCTGTGAGTCAAACTGTCCTTGGCACATACATTTTATCACCAATTTAGAGAAATGAAGAGCAGTCATTTTGCCAAGTGCTTGATACCTAATATTCTTTATTATTTCCAATAAACCTGTGAGCCTGAAAAAGATACCAAATATAATTAATAAAACGTAAATTAGGTATAGCATATACTGCTGGATCACCTATCTCTTTTTGAAGAAAAGATTCACAGTTAATCAGTGTCACACTTGTTTATAGCACATGAACAATTAAACTTACCTGGTTTTTAATTATCAATACAGATCAGCCTGTTTCAGTCTGAAACCAACTTGAGAATTTTCTTCAAGAGTACATTTTGCCAAGAAAGTGGATGGACTTTTTAGAGATTTAACTTGGCAACTATAATATTGCTAATTAACTATAATATTGCTAATTATAATTTAACTAGTTATGTTAGTTAAATGAATCTTCAATTACTTAAAATATTTCCAATTAGACCTGAGAAACACCATTGATCCCCCAATACTGATATCAGAGATTGTGTATGAAAAACCACACTAACCTGTTACTAATTCACAAACAGTACAGAAAATTATCCACTGTGGCTAGTTATATTAATTATGCATATATTATGTATGCATGAGAACTAAACTGTTGATCTATTGATAATGATTGTGTGAATACATGAAGTCTAATTCTTCTTTTGTTTTACAGTCCTACGGCTTGAACTTAGGGCCTGGGAACTATCCCTGAGCATTTGTATGATTAATTGGAGGTAAGAATCTCACAGACTTTCTTGCCCAGCCTGGCTTCAAACCATGATCTTCAGATCTCAGTCTCCTGAGTAGTTACGATTACAGGTATAAGCCACTAGTGCCTGGCTTGAAGTCTAAGTCTTAACGTTCATACTTATTATAGAAAATTAGGTGGAGAAACGATATTTCTCTTAACTGCAGCATCTGAAGACTGAAATTCAACATTTTAATATCTTTATTTTACAGTTTTCTCTGTCTGCAGGTATGTTGAATAACTGTAATCAGAAAATACCATTTGTACAGTGTTTTGCACTTCAAGTTATGTTGCTTTTGCATGTGTGTGTTGGTAGCAGGGCTTAAATGCAAGGCTTTGCACCCTTCCTCAGATTTTGTTCACTCTAAGCTGGCACCTTACCATATGAGCCATGCCTCCAGTTCCAAGTTGCATTTTTGTGCTCATACCAGGTTCTGAACTTAGGGCTTGGACATTGTCCCTTAGCTTTCACTACTCAAGATTGGCATTGTACCACTTAAGCCACACTTCCACTTCCACTTTTTTGATAGTTAATTCGAGCTGAAAGTCTCTCAGATTTGTCCACCTGACCTGGCTTCAAACCTCTATCCTCAGATCTCAGTCTCTCGAGTAGCTAAAATTAGAGACATGAGCCATCAGCAACCAGCTTTAAATTAGATTTTTAATGACTGTACAATAATATTACATTGTGTATGTACATCCTAAAATATGTAACAGCTACCCTGTTGTTGGATATGTAAGCTAGATCTTATTTTTCAGAGTTATTAATGCTACAATTATCTCAACAATCAACCTTTCGCATGCCACGTTACATCTGCAGTGCAAATCCCCAGGAATAGGATTGCACTGTAGGGATCTTCATCCATATTACTGACTTCTATGTAGGCTGGATTGATTTTGACTTGGAGCAGCAGTGGGAGGGTCATGAGTTCATTCACAAGCAGAATAAAAGGCTGGCTGCAGACAAGTTTGAGAAGTAGGCAATACATGACTTTGGTACCAGGTTTCGTCTTTTCATATCATTTGGGCAGCTCTTCCACCCTACCTTCCCAGGTGGGCACATAATATCCCAGCTTCCTCTACAGGAAAACCCACCTACCTTCCAGCAAGTTGCTAATTCCTTGGGCCACACTTAGAAGTAGCCAGAAGGCCGTGCATGCTCCTCCCAGAAGCAATTTGCATCTACAGTTCCCAGAGGCTACTGGGCTGAAGGAAGTCTTGGGATACTTCCTGGGACTCATGAATCTCACAGCAGACTTGGTTTTGGAAGAATTTTTATTTTCATGGCTTTTTAAAAAAAAATTGGTTCTAATTTAAACAACTCACAGTTTAACAAAATGAACAACTGGAAGCTGGAATTTGGGGTCTTGGGGGAGGAGGGGTAAGGTAGATTAATGGAGAGAGGAACGGTGGGTGGATACAGACATAGCCAGGTACCTTGAGGGGATGGGTGGGGTTAAGAGAGCTGGGGGAGAATGAAGAAAGGGTGACCCTGATCAAAATGTATTGTTGCATGTCGCACTGAAACGCGTTTGTACCATTATTTAAATATAATGTTTAAAATACTACCTGTTGGGCTGGGAAGGTGGCTCAGTGGTAGAGCGCTTGCCTTGCATGCCTGAGGCCCTGGGTTCGATTCCTCAGCACCACATAAGCAAAAGAAAAAAGCCGGAAGTGGCGCTGTGGCTCAAGAGGTAAAGCGCTAGCCTTGAGCTGAAGAGCTGAGGGACAGGGCCCAGGCCCAGAGTTCAGGCCCCCATGACTGGACCCCCCCAAAAAAAATATGGAAAACATTACCTCAGATAGATAAACAATAAAAGTTCCAGAGGATTGCATCAGCCAGCCCAGTGGATTTGGTAGGAAACTCCTACTCTGCCCCTGTCCCAACCTGAATGCTCTTGAGTCCCACTGAACTGCTTTTCAGGGGAGAGGCGGGCTCCTGCCTATTCCTTTCTGGCCAGCTTCCAGGAATCTGGACTCAACTAGGTCACCAGACTAAGAACCAGACCAGCAGGCCTTTCTCATCTTCAGCAGTAAGGTAACAAATTTCCTGTCTGTGTTTGCACTCTTATGGCATTTCCTGGAATTGAACTACCTTCCTCTTTCTATAGAGGACGGGACATTTTAGACGCCCAGATCCCCAGAATAGGCTCTCAATCAGGGGCCTTCATGACTGCATACCAGCTACCCAGAATATCAGGGAATATCATCATCAAATGCCTTCTCTTGGTTTTCTGCTGTGTCTGACTTCTGCCCAGAGATATGATGGTTCAAGTTTCTGACCTTTCCTTGGGTAGCTTAGTTTCCTTGAACTCACACAGCTTCCCCGGTTTCCCTTGGAAGACCGAATGGTGTGGTAAGTTTGGTGTGAGTCTACTGAATAACCTGTGAATGGGGCCTTAGTAAATTCAGCACCTTGGTCCATAGCTGCTGGGGTTGGTAGAAGATGTCAGGTTCCCTCAAAGACAACTTGGCAGTACCTATTAAAATTGCAAATACAGGCCAGGCACAGTGGTACATACCTATAAGGCCCATGGAAGGGAGAGAGTAGGATAGTCACAGTTCCATGCGAGGCAGGGCTGGAAATGGTGAGACCTTATCTGAAGAAAAAATAAGTAGAAAAGGACTTCGGGATATGGCTCAAGTAGTACAGTGATTTCCTAGCAAGTGCAAGGCCAAGGCTCAACAGCCACCCCCTTCATCCCTCTTGAAAAACAAATTTCTAAATGGCCAGTATGCATGGACTTTGATTCAGTCATTTCACTTGTGGGAATTTATCCAACAGATGGAACGGCACACATAACAAATGAACATCCACTAAATGATTATCACAGCAGTTATATAGTATTTTAATATGATTATATTCTATATGTACATACATTAATTATAGTCATATTTTTATAGCAAAAAAATTTATTTGTGACAGTGCTGGGGCTTGAACTTGGGTCCTAGACTAAGTGCTGTCCCTTAGCTACATTGCTCAAGGCTAGAGCTGTGCTACTTGAGCCACAGCTATACTTCTTGCTTTTGCTGGTTCTTTGGAGATGAGAGACTTATGGACTTTCCTGCCCACACTGAGTTTGAATCAACATCCTCAGATCTCAGCCTCCTGACTGACTAAGATTATAGGCATGAGCCACTGATGCCCAGCTAGCAAAAGATTTTGAAAGAACCAAAATATCCATCAATAGGAGGTTGTTTAAATATATCATATAATCAGAATAATGACATATACAGATGTTAAGAAAGGCAGACATGCCTCTATGTACTGATATGGCAGATGTAACAGTATCAGTATTTTATGTATGCCATTTATATTATACATTCATGACACACCCTTTTCATATAAATGTAGAATATGAGAAAGTCATCTTAGAGAAGGGATTCTGAAGCTGAGTGCCGCGTATTATTACCTATAATCTTAGCTACTCAGGATACTGAGATCCAGAGGATCGAGATTGGATAGGAAAGTCTAAGAGACTCTATCTCCAATCAGCCGGCAAAAATCTGTAATGGAGGCATGGCTCAAGTGGTAAAGGGCCACCCGTGAGAGAAAAAGCCAAGCAAGAGCTCAAGGTCCTAACTACAAGCCCTAGAACTGGCAAAAAGAAAAAAGAAAGAGAAGACAGACAGACAGACAGACAGACAGAAACAGAGAAAGGAAGGAAGGAAGGAAGGAAGAAAGAAAGGAAAAAGTTTTCATGCTTACTACCTGTGTTATTTTGAGCAATTCACTTAACCTATCTGTATCTCAATATAATCATATATAAAATGGAGCTAATGACAGTTCTTCCCTCACAGAGTTGGTGAGCTTATGAAATGAGTTAATATATATTAAGTGTTCAGAAAATTGTTTCATTATAATTATATATTGTATATACATGTATTAATTATACTCATTATTATAGCAAAAGCTTTTAAAAAAGAATATGCATCAATAGGAAAGTGGTTAAATAAATCTTCATGATGGAATACTATGGATTTTTCATTTTTATGTGGGAGATGAAATCATACAGCCTTTTCTGTCAGGGTTCGCTTTGAACTACAATTCCCCAGATATCAGCCTTCTTAGTGTAGCTAGGATTGCAGGCATTAGTCATTGGCACCCAGCATAAAGAAACAGCTTTTTACAATCTTAGAAGAAAATGATCAAATTTGGGACAAAATGTGAATAAGCAAAATCCGATGCATGTCTATAAAAATGAAATTGGAATTGCAAAGTATCTCTTACTATGAGCTTGAAATGTTTCTCAGATTTTAAAAGATCTACTTCTAAATTCACGATTCTTTTGAAAAATTCAGGAAAGTGAAATAAATCTTCTCTTTTATATATGAGTGCCTTAGGGACAACAGAATTTTATGTAAATAACTGCAGGTGGAGAGGTAACAGTACTCCAGAAAGCTCCATAAATTCTAAGTTCTCCAACTGGGCTGCGAGCAAAGGTTGAGCCTTTGCAAACTCTGTTGCTTTCCCTAGAGCTCCATTTTCTTTCCTCCCTACATGCATCAAAGTCACATGAAGAATTACATTTTCTTTGGGTTATAACTGACACCTCCCTCTCTCTGTGAAGCCTTCTGCCATCTCCTCAAGACTTGGTTCTACCTTTCTCTACACTCCCTTAGCAACATGAGTCATCATCAAAGATTTAAATAATCTTTACTGTATACAATACAAATAAAGTTATTTTTTTGCTCGTGGCCTCTAATACTCCAAATCTGTTGAAAAAATAAAAAGGAAGAATCCTTGCATTGTAGCTTCCTGTTATCATGACAATTTGATCTGCTTTTTGCTTTGGTGGTACTCATTTCTTTGAACCTCAGAGCCTTTGAACTCTAAAGCTTTTGTCATGCCCTTTCCCCAGATTGTTTTTGTTTATTCTTCAGTAAAGTCTTGTGTTTTTGCCTGCCTCTGACTATAATCCTACTTCTACCTCTCAGGTAGCTCGGATGACAGGCTTGTACCACTATACCCAGCCGTTATCGGTGTAGTAGTACTGCCAGTGGAAATAAAATGCAAACTACCTATGTGCCTGGAACTTTTTAGTAGCTTCCTTCTAAAATGTAGAAAGGAACTTGGCAATGGTACACATCTGTAATTCTAGCCAGCATTCACAGGTGAGGCAGGAAAAGGGAGAGTTTGAGCCTGGATTACACAGTAAGAAAACAAAAAGGAAACAAGTCACTAGACTGAAGAAACATTCTACACAATGGAAGAAGGAAAATATATGTCAGCTCTCCATCTGACCAGTGATTAATAATTAGAGTATACAGGGAGCTCAAAAAACTAAACTCCACAAAGAATCAGTACCCAATTAGCAAATGGACAAATGAACTGAATAGACAATTCTTGCAAGAAGTACAAATGGCCGATAAATACATGAAGAAATGCTCAACATTTGCAGCCATAAAGGAAATGTAAATCAACTCAACATTGAGATCTCATCTCACATCAGTCAGAATGACTATCATCAAAACACTAACCACAAATGCTGGTGGGATGAAAAAGAGAAGCAACCCTATTACACCGGTTATAGGCATGTAAACTATAGTGCAACCACTATAGAAACTAGAAAAAAAGTCATTGTTCTAGTGTTTGGAACCTAGGCTGAGTGTTCAGAGATTCTCTGTATTTAGGTGTGCCATGTCTCTGTTAATAAGAAATTATGCCAAAATAAAGGGTTAAAATACTTTTTTTTAAAGTTATGAGCACTTGAATAAATCTTTTTCTAGATACCCCACTCTCTTCAGCTTCTGGATTTAAGTATTAGAAGACTAAGTAGAAGAAAACTTACATTCACTTTCATGAACAATTTGTGCTAAGAAGAAAACAAAACTCCACAATGTACCCTCCCTTGTAAAAAGGGATTTTGATTACATGTGCCCCAAATTACTTTGCCTCTACTTTGATGTTTTGGGAAGTGGCTTTTTCCAGCTTCTAACCCTGAACCTAAAAAGAGTAAGTAGAAATTTCCTTCAGGAAAAACTGGGAAGTGATTTAACTCATGTCTGTTTTGTAGATATTCATAGTAGGAAGCCAGTTGGGAAGCTAATTCTCATCCTGGTAGGCCCCAGACAGGCTGGGACTAGATGCTATATCCTTTGCTTCCTTCTACATCTCTGGTCTGAAAGCTCCTGGCTAGTGGCCGGTGGCCTGTGACTTGTGGCTTGTCTGCTTTGAGATTGAAAAGGGGGACAGGTCCTTGGGCCATCCAGCATTGGCTAAAAGTGGGTGGTTAGGAAGCTGGCTTTCTGTATAATTAGAAGCAGATCTAGAGAGAAAGGGAGGGCCTTTTGTTTTTTAATGACATACCTTTAGTCTTTGCTTACATTTCAGTTCTACAAAGTCGGCCTTCTCTAGTGGTTTCTACAGATGGCCATGACCCTGGCAGCCATTGTGACCCTGCCCTGCTTAGGACAGGGTATGTGCACAGGCTGTTTACTTTAAGAGAAAGAAGCTTACGCATGATATTTACTCTAACCTGGGTTAAGAACATTAACGGTTAGAACTGATAAAGAAATCTGGTGAGGTTACCAGAGTGACTTAAAGGCTAAGCCAGGACTGCAAGTGGTCAACCCCAGGCCAGTCTTCTTAGGACACACTGAAGATAAATCCCCAGGCTTCGCACAGGCAGACTTTGAATCAAATACAAAGCCCTTACCCCTTTAAGTGTACCTGCCTGCAGACCTCTTCATGGCCTGCCCAGCTCATGGTCCACCTCTCCTCTGCCTTTCCCAAACTGCCCTTGGTCCATATAGAATGACCTGACATTAGCTAGTACATTGGTCATCACAAAATTGTCTGTCTGTCCTCCACAACAGGCTATTAGGTCTCTGAAGGTTAACATTATAGGCTCAGGGTTTAGTTATGATAACATTACATAAGAAGCCATTTTGAGCTCAACACAGTGTCCAAGATAATGGCTGAGAAAGTGAATTGTTCCCCATATCTGTTGAGCTCAAACCATTTGACAATTTGTTTGGAATATGGTTATGTCAACATAGAGAATATACTATATTATAAGCCTACCTACCTCGAGTAGGTCCTCCTAAACAAGCAAACTTCTACTTTCCTCGTTCAAACACAATAAACCTAGGAAAACACTGAAACTACAAGCAAGTCAAAGGCAGCACATCATCATACAGCTGGTGTGCATGAGTGCATGTGTGTGTGCATGAGTGTGTGTGTGTGTGCACCATTTTACTGGTTCTCATAACAGTAGTTTCCACAAGCACAGGAAATATCTTCTTCTAACTCTCTTGTAAAGACATACACACACACACACACATGTATCCTGGATGGTTTTGATTTTTGCTGGTCTTAGGCCTTGAACTCTGGGCCTGGATGCTGTCCCTAAGCTCCTTTTGTTCCAGCTTTTTCTGTGATTAATTGGAAGTAAGAGTTCCACAGACTTTCCTGCCTGGGCTGGAAATCCTCAGGTCTCAGTTCCTGACTCTTTTTTTTTTTTTTTTTGGGTCCAGTCGTGGGGCCTGAACTCTGGGCCTGGGCACTGTCCCTCAGCTCTTCAGCTCAAGGCTAGCGCTCTACCACTTGAGCCACAGCGCCACTTCCGTGTTTTTTCTTTTTGCTTATGTGGTGCTGAGGAATTGAACCCAGGGCCTCTGGCATGCAAGGCAAGTGCTCTACCACTGAGCCACCTTCCCAGCCCAGGTCTCAGTTCCTGAGTAGCGAGGATTACAGGAGTGAACCATCAGGGACCAGCTCATATCCTGTTTTAAGCAATCATCTGAGATGCCCTTGGCCCTGCCTTCCTGGAGATGATCAGGAAGAAGGTCATAGATGAAGGGGTCACAGGCAGCTATTTCTATATTTAAGTATTTGAACAAAGGGGTTGCAAGGCAACATACTAGTTTGTGAGTTCAATGTATTTGATCAATGTCACCTCTTCATTCTCGCCATCCCTTCCAATTCCACCTATCCCCTCAATCTACCTGATTTCATCTTCACATACGTACATTAAAATTATGACTGATTCTCCCATCTTTCCTCTCTTCATTCACCATTTTCCAAGGGCACCAGAGAAGCAGTAAAAATTGTTCTTCAAAATATTCCTAGAGCCAGGAGCTGGTGGCTCATGCCTGTAATCCTACCTACTCAGGAGGCTGAGATCTAAGGATCATGGTTCAAAGACAGCCCAGACAGGAATGTCCGTGAGACTCTTATCTCTAATAAACTACCAGAAAACCGGAAGTGGTGCTGTGGCTCAAGTGGTAGAGCGCTTGCCTTGAGCTGAAGAGCTGAGGGACAGTCCCCAGGCCCAGAGTTTAAGTACCATGACCAACAAAAACAAAACAAAACAAAATATTTTAGAGGCTTTTCTAGATTATTTGTGTTGTTTCTCAACAAGCCAAGAGTGTTGCTAGGATATACCAAAGGTTATATCCTATAACCTAAGTGACTGGACTAATGGTAGGAGGCAGACTAATGATAGGAGGGGCAGAGGGCTGGAGTTTAGGTAGGAAAGAAATCACAGCACCCAGTTCGAGTTCCAAGTTACCTGAAAAGCTTCTTTACAAGTTAAGATTTCCTCATTTACAATGAGGATAGAGGGCTTTTACTTGGAACCAAAAATGGGTGACTCTGGCATCCAGAAGTTGGAATCAAACACTTGATGTTAGTAGTCTCCGTCTGCACCACTCACAACCCCATTCATTCTCTTAGAGAAAAGAAGACCCAATTTTCTTCATGTAGGACCAAAATTTGCATGACCAATCATTTGGAGAGAGAAAGGAGACAGACAGACAGACAGACAGAGAACTTCAGTTTCCTGAGGAAGTTTGATTTTGGTCAGGCTACTTCCTAGCCATCATGAAATCAGTGCGAAGTTGTACTGTGTACAAGGCACACCAAGGCCTTATAGATGGAGAGAAAGTATTATGGTCATTCACATAAAGATAGAGAGCCATCTAATGGATGGTTTAAATCCAGGGGTTCATCCCATGTGTAGTGGACTTTAAAGCACTTTCTTGTCTTCTATGTAAATGAAGAAACATGGGAGGGTTTTGGATATCACAAGAAGATTCAGTTTGTCTAAATCACAATCCAGAAAAACAACTCTCCTCTATTGAACTGGGTGTGTGACTTGAGGGGGGGCGGGGTTGAAGGTGGGAGGGGGGGAGATACTACAGGCAATGCCCGTCATCTATGAAAATCATTTTTCCCAAGCAAGGAAAGGAGCTTACATTCAAAACCATACTTACATTAAAAAAAAAAAAAAGATTTCTTTGTCCTAAAATTTGAGTTTGAGAAATTTGGAGAGAAGCTTACATTGAAAAGCATACTTCAATTTTTTAAAATGGTTTATTTCTCCTAAAATGTGAGTCGGAGAAGGGAAATTCCAGTTTCCAACATTTGCTTGGGGAAATGGGTATTTGAAGCTCCACTGTGCAGGGTTTCCGTTGTTTTCCGCTCCTACATCCTCCATATTTAATGCCCTCGCTGGAAAATGGATTGACTTCTGAAGGATTTTTCTCTTGCTGTGGAGATGTTGCACATTGGCTCAAATGGGTTTTTATTTTCCATTTTAATTTATACAATATAAATACGATGTTGGGCTTCTTCAGAGTTAACAGTTTCACTGTGCAGATGTTTCTTGAAAGCGTTTCAATTCATAGTGTTGGTTTAAAAAAATTTTTTTTTATTAGCCTGGCTGCCTGCCCGGGGTGGGGAGAAGAGGGAGATACTATTCCATTTTGCATAGAACTGAAGATTTTCTTTCCTATTCTTTCCCCCACCCCCAGCCAGACAAGATGGTTAGAATATAAGATACTTTATTGCCATCTTGTGGTCAACAATCAGAGCCACAGCCAAGAGTCATCTGCGGAAGAACAGAAGCCACCCAGTTTGTTCTCCCACAATATTTCATTACACATTCCATTTGCTTTTTATTTACCATTTGGCACAAATTGGTCTCGATTTCCAGGTTGTTTTGCTTTAATGGAAAATATTCCACTTGGACCACATAGGGAAGGATAAATATGCTATGTTCTTAACTCTGTGCGTTGGCTTTGATGGGACCCCTTGTAAACAGTGTTGTGCAAGCTGACTCAGTACTAGCTTTGAAAAATATTCAAATCTTTTCCCTTAAAACGAGACAAGAACACTAAATGAGCTTTCGTTCATTACATAGGCTTTTGGAAAGTAACTAATGGTTTGCTTACTTGTTTAATTTTTAAATGGAAATGTATAAATAATAGCCCTCTGATCTCTATCTCCCCTAGTGTCCATGGAGACAAAATCTGCTTGCATCATTCTTGACTTAAAAGGTACGAAGTAGAATGTAGCACCAAAATAAAAATATGGATGGATATTTGGGAGATGGACAGGGAAGCCCCTCGCCCCCAAAACAGGAGAAGGAATAAATATTATAGAAGTGCATTTTATATCTAAAAAATAGTAAATGAAATCCACCAAAACATGTTAGAACGTAGGTGGGGAGGAACTAAGTGTTTAAGAAAAAGTAGCCAGACACCAGTGGCTCATGCCTGTAATCCTAGCTACTTAGGAGGTTGAGATCTGAGGATCATGTTTCAAAGCCAGTCTGGGCAGGAAAGTCCATGAGACTCTTATCTCCAATTAACTACTAGAAAACTGGAAGTGGTGCTGTGGCTCAAGTGGTAGAGTGCTAGCCTTGAGCTGAAGAGCTCAGGGACAGCATCCAGGCCTAGAGTTCAAGCCCCACTACAGGGTGGGGGGTTGGGGGGGCAGGAAGAAGTAAAATAAATGGAATAAATTTCACCAAAGTAATTATAAGCCTGTTATAAATATCACAATGAAACTTGTTTGTACAATTAACTTATGCTAATAATTTTAATTATCTTTACTCAAAAGTAGAGATATGATGTAACATTAAAAGAACAAGACACCAAATTTTCAGTAAGGTATGATACTCTAGTCATAACAGCAGGAAAATCTGTAAGGTGTAGACATCCACACAAATGTGGATATAATTGTAAATATCAAAATTAATGTGGAGTAGGCCCAGAAGTGAACACAGAAAGAAAAATACATACAAAGACGTGTTTTTCTCTTACATCTTTTCTTACATTTTCAGAAAATGTACTGGGTATATACATTAAAACTGTGATCAGGAAATATTCTCAGCACAATTTAAAGAGTCAAGATTCTGTTTAATTCTAAATCAAGTATCTTCATTTTAGGATGACACACACTCCAGAAACTTGACAAAGGAATTCCTGTCAGTGAAAGAATGCGTGGAGATGAAGAGCCAGCATGAGTCCCAGAGCAAGAGCAAGTCCTTTAAGATGTATTGAAATACTTGGAATTCCAAAAGCTCAAAAGTGTCTTGTCTTCTCTATGGAGCTGAGGTGAGGGAAAAGGTCATGTATGGCTATACTCTTTGCGAAAGGTTTGCCATAGCCTCCAAAAAAGGAGAGACAGTGAAATCATTCAGTTTTGTCTCTGGTGCAAAATCTTCATAAAAATATGAATTTAGGAGCC